ATATAGTCTTGCTAAGTTGCTTTAGGACGTCACTAAGTTGCTGAGGCTACCTTTGAACTTGCAATCCTCCTTCTTCAGCCTCCCAAGCTGCTGGGATTATAGGCATGCACCACCATGCCCAGCATACCTCTGATTTTTAATAAAAGTTGTTGGGCAGTGTAATTGGCATGTTCTTTAAGAATTTAAAATTCATGAAACGTGACTGACACATCAAATGCATTGCTGGTGGAAAATACTTTTCCCAAATAAAACTTGATTTACTACAGGGAGTTATTTAAAGCTTAAACTAATTCTATTCCTATAAAGCCCAAGGGGGGGGCATCCTTGGGTGGGAGTTTAGGGAATAGCAACATAGCAGCAGGTTTCACTAGCAACACTGGACATCAAGGTTAACAGGGTTTCTTAATTTTTTTCTTTTCTCACATTTCTTCCAGTAGGTATTTTATAGTGGGCATATTCTGGTCATATATTAGGGTGGGCACTACCCAGAGACTTTTAGTTGCTGTTGTTTGACAGGCCTGGTTTTAACTTCTGGTTCTGCAATTTAGTATTTTGTGCAAAATTTTAACCTTTCTGTTCCTGTTTTCTTCTTATTATGGGGCATCAGAAAGATTCATGGATTAATGAGTACAGCCAGCTCTCCAGGAACTTGGTGATTCCTCAGCAAATGGGATCTACACAATAGTTGTTGTTATTATTATTATAATTACCAACATGGTCTTGTTTGAACTAGGTCAAAGTGAACTGTAAATGAGTACAAATCCATACAGCTGTAATCATTGCCTAAATATTCCAGAACAGAAAAATCTTCAGCATATTAAATTTGCAATTAATTAAGTACAAGATAATCCTGATGCATGATTTGGAAAAACCATACAGCAAGTGTCTGAGGGCCTTAGCCATTTTGGTACAGAAGTAATGTGGACTAAGTTCCACCGCATTTGTATATATATTGTGCATTCAGTTTTTTTTTTTTTTTTTGTTCTCTAAACGAAACCTCTCTCTTCCAATAATGGTACGATTTAAAATAAAGCAAACAAAAACATTCTCCTATTTATCTTATAGTAAAGGCTAACCTCACTTACCGGGCGTCCAAACTCCAGTTCTGAAAAGAATTTATACCAGGGCTCATTTTCTAAATCTATGTCATCTGGATTTATGCGATCAGTCTAGAGCAGACGTGAAGGAAAAGGGAAGGAAAAGGCACACTGAGCGAAGTGAGGGAAATGCTGTGTGGTATGAAAAACACGCGCGCATTCACACGCCAACATGCACCAACTCTCATCCAACAAACCTCAGCAGGAGAGAACGGAGGAAGTAAAGTAAAATGAGTAAAACCAGGATATGAAGATGAGCGTCAAGGTCCCTGGCTATTGCCCCTGGCCAAGGTTTCTAATTCTCTCCTTAGCTCCTTGCACAAACCATGTTAAACTCGCTATGGAAGCGTGGAGAGCACGCCCCAGTCTTAAAATAGGCTCAAGAGAGGCACCAAATGGCTCTTCTGAGGCTGCTCACATCATTGTCCCTGGCCTCTTGGTGACTAGCAGCCCCAGGATCTGAAGTCTGCTGACAATTCCCCCAGGTGCAGGCATCTGGAGAGGCTGGGACAGGGGGAGGGAAAGGGAGAAGAGATACAGGTGCGGGGAGGAGTAAGAGGTGCTGGGAAGCGGTTGGTTAGGGGGTTTTTTGGCAGGAAGAATCCAGGGCTAGGTGACAGGGAAGAGGGGCAGCCGGGGGAGGTGTGAGTAGCCAGCTTCTGACTTGGCCTTCTTAGCCTCTGGAGAACAGGGCTCCTCCTGAGCTTCCCCACGAGCGTTAGAAAACTTAAAAGAAGGAAGGAGCTCACCCGGATGGGAGAGAGAGCTGGGGCGCATGAGTTTGGCGCGGGGATGGCGCTCCTGGGCGGAGGGGAGGGGCTACGCGTGACTTCTCCATAGGGTGAGGTGGAAAGAGGCTTCCGGCCAGGTTCCCTTGGAACAGGTGTTGGAGATGTTGGGAGAGGGGGCTGTAAGAAAGAGGGGTGAAGGAGACACTGATTCATTACATAGGGCTTCTGTATGAACCCACAGGACGCGGATCAGTGCGTGTTGTGTGCTGTGTTAGGCCGGGGAGGAAACCTTTCAGAAGGTGCAAAGGCTCCAGTGGGGGTCGAGGACCAGAGACCCTCGGAATAGTCTGGCTTACTGCAAAAATGTAAAGATCGGGAGTGGGCAGTGAAGACAGATGGTGTGTTTTCAGCCACCCCAAGATTCCCTTTCCTCCTGCATACTTTGAGCTACTGGAAAGGCTCTGCGTGGAGCCAGATTTCCCCAAGTAGGTGCTCTGGATGGCTGGCCACAGGGGAGGGAGTGTGGGATGAAATCTCACCTTGGTTTCCTTGCCATTCTAATTTAGAGAAAAGCCAATTTTTTTATAATTGACCTCTGTTGGTTTCAGAACGTTGTATTTAAGATGGAAAAACTAAGGAGTGTTAACATAAACAGTGGGGGAAAATCCATACAATTACTTAAATAATAGAAAGCAGACACCCAGCAGTTACTTAGCCCTCTCATACTCAGTGTGTTCAAATAATACTTGCCTGACCAGATTGATTCAGGCTGTTCCTTTTTTAAAATTAAAATTGGGTATTAAAGTACTACAGGGGCCTTACTACTTCTTTGATAATTATCACACCACACCAGTTAAATATGGTATAGTTGAACAGTGCTGTATATTAAGTGAGAAAAAATTCCTAAGAAAAATTATTTGGTAACCCTGGCCAGGAGAAGAGCTGAGACTCCCAAGACATATTCCAGAAGGCCCTTAAGCACTCACTGGTCCAAAGCCAATTCCATATAATTTTCTTACAATTCTTAAAGGAGCTCAAGGATTTCCACTGAATAGTTACAACTCAGTCTTGAAAGAAATATTCTGTAACTTTTATAATTTTGAGGGTTTTGAAATAGTCCATATTCCAACAAAAACCTCTATTTTATATGAACTCATTTTAGTGTTTGATTGACTTGTTGTATTTGTAACAGTTTTTTAAATCCTATGTAATGAATAGCCCTATGTAATGAATCAGTCTATATTGAATAATATACACTCAAAGTGTTTTTGTGTTGTGGTTTTGTTTCAATATTTATAGTAAAAGGTTGTAATAATAACTACACATGATGATGAAAAAGTTTGAGACATCATAACAAAAATAGTGCAAGGACCCAAGTTATCCAATACATGCAGAGATCATAATTACAAAGACTGTTTAATAACCCTAGGAAATGTAAGTGATAAGTGATGAAAAAAATGTAACATGTACTTGTGCAGTAGTTATTATGACACCCCAAAGCTGGCATTGGATGATTACAGTAAAAAAAAAAATGCACATATACAGAAGACCACACTGGTGTTCTGGTATTGAAGCTGTTTGTTTTTTCTTTCTTTCAAATGTCATTTTGCTTTGTTGTTATGACATTATTTTTGCAATATATAAAAGTATGAGAGAATATCCTACGGTGTATGGGAAAATGCTGCAGAACTCTTAAGACATTTTCCCTAATTTATGCCACTATTATATTGGGTTTACACTTCAGAAGTAACAGTGAAACTGGAAGAAAGAAAACATTCTTGTAACTACTTTGCCCTTTTCTGTTTAATAAAGAAATTTGATTCAATAGTTCCAAAAATATTAAGATTTTGCTATTACTAAAATATTATTTCTCCAAGTTATTATCTAGAACATTATAGATGCAAAATATAAATAATCATAGAAAGGTTTTTCTGGAATTGAGTTTCTGATAAATTAACATTAAAGAGAATTTTTCAGTAATTTTTCTTCTGTTTAGAGAGGCATACTAGTTCTCCCATAGGAAACTAATCTCTGATTATTTCAAACTTTATAGTTACTATAATTAGATAGTAGTTATTAATTCTTGATTTTATTACCTTTTCTTTCAAGTACAGTATTTTGTTTGCTAAGAGGAGATAGAAATAACTTCCATTAGAGGAAATAAATTTGCCTAAAAAGCATGAACAGCAGAGGGCAGCAAATTTACTAGCTACATGAGTATAATTTCACTTTGACTTCAACTTCAAGAAAATATGTAATGAATAGATAAACTAAGTTCTCATTTTATGCTGGGAACAATGGCACATGCCTAAAACCCCAGCTACTGGAGAGGCTGGGGTAGGAGGAGCACAAATTCCAGGCTACTCTAGACACTTAGTGAGACCCTGACTCAAAAAATAAATAGATAAGTAAATAAATAAAACAAAGAAAAAAGGAAATATGTTTTTATGGTAGAATATAGAAAAGGAACAGAATATCTATCGTTTGGTACCATATCTTATAATGGCAATGTCCCATTAATTATGATTTTTTTCCCTATTAAAAATATAATTTATAATTTCAATGAGCAATGATCTAGACTTTATGCCAGTAGACATCAGCAGAAAAAAACACACAAAACAATAAAACTGGTAGTCTTCAGTAACTTTGGCATATAAAGAAATGCACACACCTGAGTAGAGCCTTTGTGTGAGATAAAATGTAAGTGGCAGAACTAGAATTTTCTCTTTGCTGTGGTTGACCTATTGAATCGCCTTAGTTACGCAACAATTAAACGCATTGTGTAGCGATTGCTAAGATTGCTAAGGTACACACAAACCTCACAATAATCAGCGACATGTATACAGATGGTCAGCCAACAGAAATATATGAAAGCTAATCATCTCCCTCATTCAACTTTCCTCCTATAACAGAGTTATTTTAGGAAGTATGGTCATGCTTCATTCTAATTGCTCATAAAAGGCAGAAGAGCAGAGATAACTGATGTGATCTTTCTAACCCTCTTTTTAAGATCCCAGCAAAACCCTGCTTAATACAAGCTTTATGTCACCAGTGTAAGAGGAAATACTTAAGAAAAGCTATAACTATAAATCACACATCATCCTTATTTAAAAGCTAACAAGGGTGAACAATTTTTACAGTTTAAAAGCATTTAGCTGCTTTTGTGGCTACAGAAATTTCACAGTTCTCAGTCTTCTGAGACTTGCTTTATGTTGCTCCAAACAGAAAGAAGTATATTTTTTTCTTGAGAATTTATGCTCATTAACTTGTAAGCTTCAAAGCACTGGCTGTTAAGTATTATATTTATTGTAGATCCATAATAAAAAATGAATGCTGTACACATTGCTAGTTGGAATAATTCTTTATGGTTCAAACCATTAGATAAAACTTTCAAAATTTTTATACATTTATCTCTGAGTGGCAACTTTTGTTGATAAAGAAGCTCATGTTCATTCATGGTTTAAATCAAATTTCCACTCTGTATAGTGATTTCAATGCTTATTTCCTTTGGTTTTTCTTATTATGTGTAGGTTTAGTGATTGTAGGGAAAAGAGCATCTTCATATTGTTTTTTATTTTATTAAGTGTACAGAGGTCCTGATCAAATGCCTTTTAAAATTAAAAAAAATTAACATGGCTCATCTACAAGCATATTCAATTTAGATGAGACATAAAGTTTCATTAATATAATCCTGATAGCGAGTTCCTATGATTGCCTCTTGGAATAAATAATTGTGGAAATATGGTTCTGACTTACAGATCAAGTCAATTAAAGATGACTTCAACTGGTGATTGCAGTCATTTTCTAGATATCAAACATTAGGCCCATTTAGTCAACATTTCTAAATTTATAGACAAATGAATATTTATGAGCTTCAGAAAAGTGCATTTACTTTTGCTTTCCGGTTGAACAGCATAAATGCATATGCCACTGATTCCTAAGGAAGAAGAAGGTCTTTTTGCCAGGGTTTGGGAAGGACTTTTGTTCAAACAGTATTGCCCCCTCTGCCTCCTTTGTATCCCTGAGAATCATGGAATTAGTGAGTCATAGTTACTAATAGATGGATAGAATCCCTCCTGCATGTCTTGATGGTGACTCACTGGGCCTTTTATCACTAGAAATGTGTGGCATTCAAAGATAAGCAACAGAACAAAGATTCAGTCTCTTCCTAATTTTACACTAACAGCAAGGGCAAAATCTTCATTCAATTTACTTAGGAATTTGGTGAGTTATTCACCCATACCCACCATATGCCAAGGCTTGTTAGGTGTGGGAGATAGGATGCTGCACCAGACATGGTTCCTGCCTTCAAGGTGCTTGAAGTTGAGAGAGGGACACAGACAAGTAAACAGGCCATGACAGTTCTGTGTGATAAGGGCCATGGGGGGTGGGGGTCTGCAGGTACCAGCAGAGAGAATTTTAAACCTAGAATTGAGAAGGGACAATTACCTGGAGGAAGTGTGACTATGCTAAGACACAGGATGAAAATTTCCATGTGAAGGAAGAGGTAGTGAGGAGAGGTTTCTGGGCAGAGGAAATAGCCTGTGCAAATGAGGAGGTTGAAAGCTCCCGGAGTAGCTGGAACCCAGTAGCAGGGAGGGTGGGAAGAGATGAGGCTGCAGAGGATGCTGGGACTACGTCATACAACGCGAGTGTGTGTGTGTGTGTGTGTGTGTGTGTGTGTGTGTGTGTGTGGTGTGTGTTGTGTAAATTATGTTAAAGGATTTGGATTTTGAACGAAGGACAATGGAGAGCCAGGAAAAAAATTTTGAGCAGGATATTTTATAAAGATTTTCTAAATATTGCTCTAGTTGTGGTGTAGAGATTAGGTTGGAGAATTCGGGAAATGGATCTTTAGGTGGCTGTTACCTGATCCAAGCAATGACAGGATCAAGTGTAATTCAGGCAATGAACAAGTATGGACCAGAAGAGAAAAGTGACAGTGGTATCTCTCCTTGTAAGCAGGATCTTGAGTTCACTGGGAGAGAGGGGATTTGAGTTGACAACTGAGAAAACTGAGCAGATGGAGAGGTCCTCTAAGAATTCAAAAGAGCAAAAGAGAAATGCCTGACTATTGTGTATGGTTTTTAAAAATTAAAAACAAGAAGAGCAAAGAAATGCTTTCAAACCCTCTTGGGGTAAAAAGACAGGAAGGTGCATCCCTAATAGCTTCAAACCCCTTTGTGCTGTCCATTTGTCTTACATCACTCTTATTTAGCAAGCTTGCACTGTGTCCTCTACATCTGTGTGTTCAAGACACTTAGAATGTTCTGCAAACAAGATTGATACGTAGTACCACTACCCTTAGGCCTTTGTTTCCCCACCTCCCCAGGTTATAGAGGACTGGAATGGATTCAGGATTGATGTTGTGGTGGTTGGGAGGGAGAATAGACTAGTCCTATAACACAGTGCCTGACTAAAATGATACATATGACTTGCTCAAGTCATTTGGCATAACGCTAGCTCCCAATAAATTTGTTTAGGAAGGATTAAAATTTTGGTTCTTTCCATTGCTCCATAGATCCATTCTCATTTCCTTCAATGTTTCTAGGTTCCTTTCACTTATCTTTTCCTGTGACTTACAGAACCTATACATACCCAAATCTCTGACAAGGCTCATGGCTCTAGAACTTTCTATCTTTTTAGGACCAATTAAGTATTGGGTCATAATTACTCATGGCCCAGGTTTCTGGCAAAGTAAATAAAATACACTAACTTATTATAAATCAGTCAATAAACTTAATTTATACTGCAAAATAATCAAATAGACTTAGGTGGCAGTTGAGTCCCAGCTAAACGTTTCCCACTCAGCTAATCTAACACAGTAGTGATCAAGTGCACCGGGCATGAGTGCACCCACCAGCTAAGTTAGTTAGGTACTGCCAGTCTCTTTGTCCATAAAATGTGAATACCACACATCTGCTTTCTTAGGGTTGTTGGGGACATTACATGAGATAAGGCATAAATAACTAATTATACAAGCGTGGCACATAGTAAGTGCTCAGTAAAGATTTGCAATGACTGTTTTGGTTGTTGCTATTATTACTGCTACTTTAAAACAAGGAGTCTTTAAAGCTTTAATCTAAAGACTTCAGTAATGTAGGAATTTGAGTCACAACAATAGGGCTCATAAATGAACTTTAGGTGGGCACAGGGAGGATTCTTTAGGTGTGCCATTGAAGAGGTTGCTTATTGGCACAAATACAGATCTAGAAGTGTATGTACACTCAATGAGAGACTTGAAGCTCCTTAAGGCAGAGACACTGTCTTGTTCCCCATTATGTCCCTATCACCCAATATAAAGTCTGGCACATAATTGGTGCTGAGCCAGTTTTCTTGAATGAGTAAACCATAGCAATATCCTGATGGGAAAACTTTTGAAGTTGACTCTGTTTTCTGACACTCTAGCTACGAAAGCATTTCAGTACAATCACAACATCCACCATCCTAGGAGTCTTATAATTATTAGAATGATTATTAAAGTTTTGCTATTTATATCTAAATATGATATTTTCAATTTCATGGAGTGGTAACATTCTGTTTCCCTTAATTCTCATTCTGGGAAATTTTAAAGTACCTCGATATTCAATCGTATAACGTAGAAAATGGGTTATAAGTTTGTAAAATGGAGTCTGCGAATCAGTGATGTTCCTTTTTTCTTTTAGTTTTTTGTTACTCAAAAACATATGAGTTGTTTGAAGAGAGCCACAGGAGACTTAGATAAATGTCTGTTTGAATTATATGATTATAAGGTTTCGAGCATGCTTCTTAAAAACACCACCACAAATACAGGGTTTCCAAAACTAAATCAAGGACACTTAGATTGGGTGTGGTGAGGCAAAGGTTTCCAATTAAATTTCAGGGCTGGCTTTGCATTCTAGTCTGTTTGATAGTGTGTTTTCTTAGTTACTCTTGGGGGAGCTAACAAAACTTTCTTTTTCCTGTTCACTGATCCCAAAATTCTTTTAAGGCAAGGACGAAAGTAAATTGATATTGACATAAAAGGTTTTTCTAGAAGCAGGCTTGGAGATGCAGAGGAATTGCAGAGTTTTAAAGAGGGTCTGATCTCTGAGTGGAAGCAAAGGACAAAAAAACAAAAAAAAAACAAAAAAAAAGGAGATTGGGGAGAGCAAAAATCCAGGGGACCAGGGAAGAACCTATTTGTTAACTTTAACTCTTAGAAGAAGCAAAGCATTTTTCTCAGGTTTACATATCTTTTTGTTTGCATATCCTTAAAATAAATAATTAGAAAAAATACTGCAAAATGAAATAGTCTTGATCCTAGAATGACAATCAATCGGGATGCTTGAGGCTTGGTAACCTGAGAGGGATTTAACAAAAATCAATTAAGTAACTTGTTATAAAAAGGGCATTTAGAAAATTTCCCCTTAAATTAAAGAAATATTAAGAAACCATTATGGAAGGCAAAGGATGAACCTTCCTGTGTCTGCATATATTAGGGAGATTAATTAATAATCTTTCTCATTGGCAACCTAGAATAGAAATTACATGTTGTGTTTATGAGTGTTTTGTTTTTTAATTAAATCCAAGTTCATGAATAAGCACAGAGTAGCTATGCTAATGAATCTAGCATATGTGCGTACACGAACACATTAATTATATAAATAATTAGATACATATTAAAAATATATATCATAAATAGCTATGATTATTAAAGTGTACCATTTCTAAGACAAGATGCACAGATCATGAAACAAAATAAACATGATTTCTAAATAATGCCAATAAATAAACTACCTTGTGACAAAAATCACTAAACGATGTGCAATTCAGGTTTATTTGGGAACCCTGGCAGCTTACTGAGTGGGCATTCTGATTTATGAGAAGTGCTTACTGGTCTCTCATGCTGCAAAATTGATGACTTCCCAGGTTCATATTCAAAAATACTCCTTGGCTCAGACCGAAATTTTCTGGTGTCCACTTTTCTGTCTGGAGGATCCCAGTCATGCCTAGAAATAAACAACAAATCACACACTAAAATAATCCTGTATGCTTAAAGCAGCTGTACACAAACTATTTGCTCTCTGTTTTCAAAGTTAATTTTAGCAGAGATTAAAAAAAAAATCTCAGGACAAAAAGTTAATTTATGAAAATAGCACATATTGTATATTTTGCTTGACATAAATGATTTAAGGAAAGTCATTCTTTTTATATTCTATTTCCTGTATTTTTTTTTTTCCATATGGGACTATCCCACTGCTGGTTCAAAAACTCACATGAGGGGCTTATGGACACACAGGCGATGACATGTTAGTAAACTCATGGGTCAGTAATGGCAGCTGTGTATGTTTGAGTTTAAAGAATGTGGCAGGAGGTAAGTGGCAATATAGGCTCTGTGAAGCTATGAGAGTTTAACCCACCACTCGCTGACTAGGTGTCCTCCATCCAAAGTGATAAGGAGTAGCACACACACCATATTTGATCCTATTTCTTACAAGTGGTAGAAGAGTTTGTGAGGAGTTCAACAGAAGCACTTGGGTTGACATACACAGAAACATGCAGAGTGGCGTGGGAGACCCTTTTTGGTGTCAGCCTTGAAAAACCAATATCGGTCTCATGGGAATCTGCTTTTTTTTTTTTCTGAGCTCATATATCATTCAGAGACTGTCACAAAAGGATTTTAGCAAGTAAAGCTCCAAGGAAGGACTTTGAAAGTCAAACTTTTTCAGGCTGGGACTAAAAAGGAAGACATCTTTTAGAGAAGGAAGAAAAATTTGTTGATTATAGATTTCTCAGGAAAAAGGATTTTCTGACTTTAGATTAGGGAAATTCTGACTCCATAGATGGGAATAAAATTCTGACTCCAAAGCATATTGGAAATAGAAGTGCTCCAAGAGGGAAACTTAGGGGCAAGTCCTGACAGTCTAGTAAATTGCTGAGCAATAAAAGACCCCTTAAACGTTTTCAGTCTTTGTTTCTTCTATAAGACAGAGTAATAATGTGTCTTTTTCTCTTGCAGAGGGTGTTTGAGCATTATGAGAAAATACATATAGGAGCCATCTGGAATTTTTAAATGATCATCTTATGTCTTTACTGGGAAATAGTATATTTAAATCTGAGTTAGTTTTGGTCATTTCTGATAGCAAAGACACTATTTTGTGTCTAAATGATTATTTTTCAGTTTTAAGACATCACACTTTCTAAACACATAATTCATAAGAGATCCATATTAAAATGAGAATTTCTTCACATGTGATTTGTGTCCATTTTTGTGACATCATGGACCCTATAAGGATTAGTAATTATTGACAAGGAGGTGTTGTATTTAAACTTTCTTAAAGGGTTTCGATAGATGATTCTTAATAACCAGTATTAATAAAGACTAATTCTTATATCCTTACTTGTTCATTGCCAGCATAGGCTTTGGATTTAAGCAGAGCTGAGTTTGAATCCTGGCTTGGACATACTAGCTGCATGAGCTAAGCAAGTTTCTGCAATTTTTCAAATTAATTGTCTTTCTCTCTAAATTAGAATAGGGATGTTCTCAGAATTAAATGACATAATATGGGAAAAGTACCTATCTAATGAGTTCCAGATAAAGATTACCTATAATAGGAATATAGTGTCATAATCCTACTAAAAATGACCTAATGAAAATGTGTTTGTAGATTTTTGTTTGAGTGTGAATACTCTGAATAAAAATATTTCAGTGGAATGAAAATTTAGGATCAGCTCAAAAAAAAAAACTGGGGAAAATGAATCATAGACATTTATTAGCTAATTCCTTATTTATGGTTAATGAATAATTTCCTCTGGTTTCAAAAAAATATTTTCTTAAGCTAGTATTTCAGATCTGAGGAAACTGAAAATTAACTGTATAGACCCTCACCTGCTGTAGCAAAGGAAGTCTATGTAAATTATTTCTATTTATTTATCTCATATATGCACTTATTGGATCAAAAAGTAGAGGCTGTGTCCACTTTACTTGAAGTTTAACTTTGTGCATTTGAAAGATATTCCAAATACAACAGCATGACCCAACAAAATGCTTGCTACAGACTCCATAGTGGTGGGCCATATGGTTTATGTAAGGACTAATAAGATGGCACATATGTTCTCCCTACAAGACAAGCATGGATTCTTCTACTGAATGCCATGGAGCTTTATTTTGTATTCTAAATTAGGTATAGGCCCCTTTGTGGGATGGGGAATGCCTTACTTTTCTGTTGAAGACCGATCTCTTGGTCGGAGTGGTGGGACCGGAGGTGGAACATGTGGGGGAGGCACGGGAGAGGATGCATCCTTAAAGGCATCGGTGCCGTTGTCAGAGTGGCTTTTGGAAAGAGGTCTGTAGGTCTGGGTCTTTGCAGCAGGATGTGACTGAGTGCTGTAGGATGGGTGGTACAGACCTACCATGAATAAAACAAAAACAAAAATAAAAAGTAACATTTAAAAAAGCATGAAGTTGTTCATGCCTTTCAATATACCCAATGATTTTGAAAACTATTATCCACAAACATTCATAATGCACACATTAGATGGTATATCATGTACCAATTTGTAGTATTATCAACTTAGTAATCATTATTTATTATTTAATAACATCACATATACAAGCACTGATGACAGTAAATCTTCATCAATTATTTTGGAATTAGTAACAATTCAGACTGTTAATAAGAACAAACTTACAGGCACTCAGCAAATTTTCTCATTGATCATAGGCTAATAACACTGGTAAGGTTTCAGAAGAAGATTAAAAAATTTTTTAGACCTATTTCCAAATATCTGCTGATACTTTAAAAACTCTGCTTTATATATGACAATTAATGTGTTAATTGCAATCAAACAAAACCTTGAACAAGCTGTATCCATACGATGCTATGTGAGGCACAAGGGAACATAAACACTCAATAAGCTTCTAGTAAATTTGAGGAAATGAGGTAAATGCTCAGTAAGCTTCTAGTACATCTGAGGAAATGAGGCACAAATAGAATTATTACTGAAAATAATTGGTAACATTTAATAAAGACCAAATGAGGAAAATATACTAAGAATGAAAGGAAATTATAAAATGGTAGATGGGTCAGAGATGCTATCATAAAACCCAAGGGACTAGTCATCCCTGAAGGATTACTTTGGGTGGACAGAAGAGGGTATCAGGAATAAGTACAGGACAAAGAGAAGAGGGATGTGGGGTTAGTAGAAAGGGAGAAGACTAGTTGCAGTTGCTGTTTCTAATGATTAAACGATAAAACTTATAGGAATTCTGGCTTTCCCTGCACTAACTACTCATGGAACATCATCTTCAATATTTAAAAAATCACAAGAATTCTGAATTTCCACAACTGCAATATTTTGGGGTGAGTTTATTTGCATTCCTCTGTTCCTCCGGAAGATCCACGCAAATTTCCGTGACAAATGTAAAGAGACAACATCCACACTTACAGTTTTTGCCTCAGTTCTACAGTCAGACTTCAACTTTTGAGCTAAATAAAGGAGATAAGTTTGGTAACTGGAAATAAAGATGGAGGGGAATATCTTAATGGACTTCCCGTTATAATTTGATGGAGCCAGGACCTAAAACCACAGATTCGTAGCTAGCTAAGCTTGCTTTCCTCATTTTCCCTCTATTTGTCTTCGGAAACTAGTAGCAAAATATCTAATGCTTTTAGGGCCTGAATGCTGGTTCTTCAGGGGTCAAGGAGCAGGGAGCCTCACACAGTTCTGCTGCCAGATTGGCTAAAGGACCCCTAAATGAGAACAAGCTGATGAACAGTCCTGAGCCTGTGGCTGGGCAGGCAGAGAAGGCCCTTGGTGGAATACCTGATGCAACATTTAGGAAAAAGTGATAAAAGGAACCATGTTTTTAAGGATCTCTCCCTCCAGCTGAAGACCACTTCACAAGGTGCCAGAGTACTCAAATACAAGTGGTAGTGCCCCGACTGAAGTTTTTCTATCAGGTTCAGTGGCAATTCTGAGTTAGAAAAGTGGCCCAGCCAAGTGGGATTTTTCACATCCCTCAATGAATGACTGCATTTTGGAGCAGAAACCTGGACAAGGTCACAAAACACTTGGCTTGATTTGTTTTTTGGGGGAAGTGTATTTGAAAGATCTTTAGCAATTGTAATCACTCTCTCTGCTGATAAAAGAAGATCTTTATCTTATTTTGTACCCTGGTCAAAATAAGATGTTCTTTCACCCTGTCCTTCACACTTTGGTTAAACATTCCTGAAACACAGAATAAACTAACCTTGGGGGTGAATGAGACAAAACAGTATTAATTCTCATTTCCATGAGAAAAGATCAATCTTTTTGTTATGCATGCTCTAAAAAAAAAAAAAAAAGAAATCAAGCAACCTCCTAATTATAGGAACCACAGTGTGGTCAAACAGAGGGACAAAACAAAGTGATGGTGTAGTTCTTCCAACATTGTTGAGCATCCAATCGTCATGACAAGCAAGGAAACCCATCGGCCCATCCTACCTGCATTATATGTGTAAGGAGTATTGTACATGTCTGAGTCATCATCTAGAAAATGAAACATAAATATTATGGTAGTACAGATTCTGTCACCATGCCATAACAACACAGCAGAATTTCAGAGAAACACCAGAAATTTGCTAAAAGAGCAATGCATTTTTCCTAGTTCATAATATCCATTTATGTTTCCAAGTACTGCTTTTTGCTGAGCCTCTCTGGACTGACCTTTCTTATCTTTAATGTATTTGCCTTATGGCCCTCTTCACAACATGCAAAGCCCATGCCTTGTTCTCACTTCCCTAGGAGGCTTGTTAACTGCAGGCAGCAGGCTCAGCCAGCCCTGCCTACATCACTCTCCTGATAAGGAGCCAGCGCTCCAGGCAGGAGGGAGGGGGGAGGAAAGAGGAGTCCGTTGAAATAGACAACATGCCCAGTGCAGGATGTGAACAGGGAAGGATGGAGGGACAAGACCAGAACACTTGGCAGTGTCCAAGGTGCTCCTTCTAAGAGGCTTCCTGGCAGCTTGGGGGTGAAGGAGAGGCACACATCTGTGAGTTGAGGAGTGATAAAAGAACAGGAAGAATGTTGAAAAGAAAGGGGGCATGAGATTCACTAGGGTCTTGACATTTTTGTGTGAATGAAATCATGCGAAGGAGGAGTAGATCTCCTTCAAACCACAAGGCCCCCAACAGAAAACAGAACATGCATACCAGGCTTGTGCACCATGTGGATTTGCTTAAACATAGTCTTGTACCAGTCCTTGGGTCGGTCAACTGTCTGTAATAGAGAATAGCCAATAGTTAATAAAACTGACCCGAGGTAAATATTGCTTTTCAATGTCCTCATTGCTTGTAGTTTATCTTTTTAGTAGCAATTTCTATTTAGTTATAAAAATTTTCTGACTCTTCACTATTACTTGGTGGTGATTTTAGCAATTTATCCTGTTATATATGCAAATTATAATTCTATTATCCCACCTCTGAGTTCATACTGAGTTGGAGCGTTAGATGCTATGGTTTTATTTGTTCAAATCACAGCTGTGCACTGACTGCATCTAGCTCTTTATATGTGACATTACCTTATTGTACATCGGTAGAAAAGTAAACATATATCTTTATAATCATAACTAAATGTTTTGCTTGACAAAATCTTTATCCCAACTCTTTCAAAGTTACATGGGCAAGAAATTTGACTATTTTGTTTGACACAGTTAGCTAAATAAACCAGATTTTCTAAGACTGTTCTCTTGATTTGGAAAGTTTGGTTAGTACTGCTACAAAAGTATTCTTGTACTTGTTAGCTTGAGCATTGGTTTATATTTTATATCCTGATTTTTCTTTTGGAAATAGAGGTACCACATTTTTCATCTGGAAATTGAGGGTCCTGTGCCAGATGGCTTTGGCAATGCTGCACAAGTAGATTAACAATAAGGACTACTTGACTTTATTTGCCAATCACCTCTGCATTCTCAACTCTTCCTACAATGGAAAACTGAAGGCAGCTCATTGACTATACAGTCAAATGGCTGCAGCTGGTAGGAAGGACCATAGTGATAAAACAGGAGACTGGCTTTTATTTGCTGGCTCAAATGGAATAGTTAAACATGTATCTTTTTTTTTAAGTTATATTTTTTAAAGATGAACACAATATCTTTACTTTATTTTATTTATTTTTATGGGGTGCTGAGGATTGAACCCAGTGCCTCATGTGTGTAAGGCAAGCGCTCTACCTATCGCTGAGCTATAACCCCAACCCCAAACATGTATCTTTTAAAAACTTTATTGCAGTGCTGAGGATGGAACCCAGGGCCTTGATGTAGGCAGGCAAACGTACCACCTCTGAGCCCAACCCCTGTGCAACATTTAAGGGACTTTTATTTCCATAAAAGATCAACTTCCCTTCCATTAATCTTCATTTCTTTTACAGTATAAGAGCAACAAAAAATAATACATAACTTTGTGCAAAAATATTTTCTAGCCAAACTTGGATGCAACCAATGGGAACAACGAAGCCTAATAAGTCAACTAACGTCACTGAAAATGGCAATGTATTTTGACGGACAGGAATATTTTGCTCAATTGTTGGAGGGCCTATATCAGGCAGGATTTCACAGTTATGCCATCTGCTAGCTTTATATGGTGAGCAAAGAGATGCCAGGCAATGCCCCATCAGTTGGCAAAGGAGAACATGAAACTAGTAAAACGGGATTTTAAAATTCAAGGTCCCTTTCTAGAAGAAGTCCTATAATCCTTTAAAGCTCTTTTTTTTTTTTTTTTTTTTTTTACAAATGCCATCATGGAGATTGTCATGCTTCATATTGTCATTATGAAAGTAGATGTCTACTCAAATCTGAGGAAATTTACTTTTAGATGTGTCCTTCAAAAACATTTTGCACAAACAGTAATTACCAAGACTTCATTGTGCTGTCGTCATCTATAACCTTGACTGAATAGATTTCAATTTTTCTACTCCTACAGTTTATGAAACATCAGAGTTTCACAATGAATTAACATGCAGAGATTCCCCAAAAGAAAACAGAACATATTTTCTACATACCACTTTACAGTAATTCTGTTCTAATCTTTGCAACTTTCCAGTTCCAAGAAATGGTCAAACAAGTGTTATATTTGAATTAAAAGGAGGAAAACTTTGCATGTCTCTTAACTAGCTGGGCTTAATTACACGATCTCATGGGGTCTGAGCCCTAGTGATTTTTGTTGTTGTTTTTGAGAATGGCAGTAAAAGGCTGACAGAGACATCCCAGGGCGCAGGAGAGTGGTCAATCTAGAAAGCTCCTTCCCTTCATTAAAGTAACTCAAAAGTAGTGGGTATTGATTCTAGCCTTTCTGGAGCGTCTGGCCCATTTAATAAAATCCTGTTGCCTTGGTATATGTTGGTCATCTGAGCCGATACTACGACATGGTGCATTCAGTCAGTACTGCCTTTGGTGTATACACTGGGCAGAAATTTAATATGAAGTAATTTGAGTCTTATAATCATTCCTTTCTACACAGCTGAGAAAGGAAAATACCCTTGGAGATTCTTGGCCTGCTGTGGCTCAGAGATGGCCTGACTCAACATTTATAAACACAGCTATACTTGGGGATGTGCTCTGTAGGCTGCAAAATAGTAAACATGAGTAAGAGAAGTCTTCATAGACCTGGTCCTTCTTGGTAAAGTTTTAAAGGTCTAAGGAGAGAATGATTGTACATAAAATTACGGTTCCTTATAAGGAATTTCTGGGTTTCTTATGTTTTATTCTCTATTTTTAGAAGGCAAATGAGCATCACATGTCTAGTGTATGTACTTGCTTATAACTAAGCATGCTTTTGATTTATTGTTGAAAAATAAAACATAAATTTTAAGATTACTTGGTTTTCACTAACCATCAGTTTTACCTTTAAAATACAAACAAAGCAAGACCTTGCCAGTTAAAAATTATGTCTTATGGATTAAATAATGGATCAAGTTTGCATGCCCATTATTACATATCATGTACTGACTTAAAAAATCTACCCAGAGGTTTCAGATAAAAGTTTTTGAGTCCAACTTTATAATTACATTAGAAAGCAAAGATCTCTTAGTATGTTTATATACTGTTCCTCAAGGATCAATTAGACAAAACTAACGACACCATCCCTGTCTGACTTGGTATCCTTACATTATTAGGTGGAAAAAAACAATCAAATTTAACAATTTTGAGTCAGAAATCCTAAAAAAGGACACAAATGACCAAACACCACCATCGGAAACATGTAATCATTGTAAGACTGAAAATATTAGTCACAATCCCTGAACTTTTTCTGTTACTTCACTATGACAATCATCAGTTTCAACACAGAATTTTAGGACTTCACAATTCACCCCATTCAACATTCTAGCAATCTAATGAGTCAAAAGCCCCAGTTCCTGCTGTACTGATTTTTTTTTTAACTTCAATTAAAACACGGATGCTTATATTAATCCATTTTAACTCTTTTCTCTGTATATGGACTCCTCATATAATAAATGCAGGTTCAAAAAGAGAAGAAAAGCCCCACACTTTAGCTTTTTTGGAATGCTTCAGTCTTACCACTGATTCTTCCTGATCTCTTTCCCATTCTTTCCCTCTACCCATGATTGTCTTTGGCTCCCCAGGTTTGCATTCCAGGGAAGCAGCTCTTGGCAACACCCAGCCCTTTATGTGGGCTTGGCCGGCAAACTGTGTGCCTCTGGGGGAGCTCCTTTCTCACACCTCCCCCCAATTTCACCTGCAAAGATGCTGTGGCTCTCATCCTGGTGTCCCCAGTCCTCCTTCTCCCCTTCTCCCCGGCAAGCACAAGCCTCCTCTTCAAGTGGACCTGGTCAGCACGCAGCTGCCTGCCCTGGCTCTCAATAGCTGCCTCTGCTGCTGCTGAGCTTTGCCAGAAGGGGCTGCCCCCGACACACTGAGCAATGCTTTGGCAGAGTTTAAAGACTTAAAAAAAAAAAAAAAATTCCCAACACTTTCACTTATCATCCCCAGAGAGCGCCCAGCAGGCTCAGTTGACAGGGGACACTCAGATGTGTATTTTTCTTTAGACACTTTTCCCTTTCCATGACATTAGCTCCCTTCACTCCAATCATCTCACCTCCCAGCTCCCAATTCACAGCTCTGCATCTCCTGGTGTTAACACACATCCATTTCAAGAAACAAAATCACTGGTTTATTTGCAATGCATGTGGGAATTCAAGGCAGCCAAAGAATTTGCTTTTTTTTTTTCTTGTTCCTTCTCTTTTTTCTCTATGGCTCTATCTATTCTTATTTTCTTTAAAAAAGTTTTATCATTTAATTAAAAAAAATCACAATTTTCATGACTCTTAATTTAAATGGAAAAACAGGTTGCGTAATTTTCTTCAATGGACAGTTCTCTTTCTCTGCCACACAACATAATATTCATGAGAACTCAATGGCACAGAGGGCAATCCTCATTATATAAGACCCTAGGAATGCACAAAGCCACGCACAATCCATCCTTTGTAGAGGCTGTGCATAGACCCAGGCAGACGCACACGCTGGCATTTCCTACCGTTCTAATTGCTGTGGGGATTCCGGATTCATCCACTGGCCCAATCCCCGGGTAATGTGGAGCTTTGATGACTGTCACTCTCTTCTCTTCCTCTGAGGATCTGTACAGTGGGATTGAGCTGCTGGTGGTACCATCCAGAGACTGTGCATGCTGGGAATAGGTCTCTGCAGAATCTGTGCAGAGAATTTGGTGAAATATAATATATTGGATGCAAAAAGACTCAAAATTAATAGTGCCTCTTGTACTTCTGTGCCAATTGTAACATAGAGGTCATATTTCCATGGCTCTGTCTTTTAATTCATTGACTTTGTTTTTGAGCAGCTTGTGGTATAGAGGATATAGTGTAGATGTGCTGTGAACAGGCTATAACATAGAAGACCTCAACATTTATGACATTTGTTGAATGGCTGTTTGACAGCCACTGTTAAGTGAACACGACATGTTCGACCTCATCTTCCCTTCCAGTAATCATGAGGGACTATCTTGGGAGGGAGACAACAATCAGTTCTGATGAGGGGGCAGAAGCTGAGATGAATTCAGTAATTTCCCTCAAGTCACAATTCATACCAATGTTATTCTTGTGATACCACTGACCACCAATGACAGTGACTTCATAAAAAAACCAAGTGAACAAAAAATCACTTTAAAAATTTTTACATCCAAACAAGCATGAATGTTAAAGGTTATGGGTAAAAACAAAAACAAAAACAAAAAATCTTTAAAATAATTAGTATAAATTGAGTTGGGTTTAAATAGCCAATGGCCATAAAAGGCCCTAACCATAACGTTTTACCATTTGAAGATAGCGATGGTATTGAGGATATAAATTAGAGGAAGCTTGTCAAGATCCTATCTTCCTGTTATCTTTATCAACTTCTGGTATACTTTCAGAAGCAACCAAGGGGACACCCAAGTATTATATTTTCCACTTACGCTGAGTTTGAAAATATGTACTGCCATTCATCTGGCAAAATTAGCAATAAGACATCCTGTCTTTTATCAATTAGTTTCAAAATTTTGGTGACTAAGAATGTTACTTTCTTTATACTGTTTATGCCATAGCTTGGTAGTTCTGTCACTCAGAAAGTTCTTTTATGTGGAAACAGAAGAGTCCTATGTTTCTGGATAGAATTCATTGATATCATTCAGATGTACATGTGTGGGGGTAGATGTACATATATATGTACACACACATATACATACACAAATATTATAAATAAATGTGTTTTTTCATGAAAAATTGCATGAACATCATAAATGAACATTTTAAAAAATTCAACTCATCTTTATAAGGGAAATTGGAGTTAAGGTCTAACATTTATAGCTATTATTATTGTTATGAATATTTTCAATTTAGTTTGCAACAGAAAAGCATTTTTAGTATATGTTTTAAAAGAATGGATAAAGCTAGGAATAAAACTGCTTTATGTACCAACGAATATGAAATAAATATCTTTTCAAATTCCAAAAAGGACTTGAGAGCATAATCCTAGTATTTTAATCATCAATGAATGTTTTTCGAAAAGTTAGTACGTGCAAAGTCCTAACCTAAGCACATGGAATCAACTCTGTCTTTACCTATGTTTCTTCAGGTTATAGAGACTGTAGCTTATGCAATGGAAGTTAGTTCTTTATTTTATTATTCTTTTATATGGTCCACTTAACTCTTATCTTTGCAATCCCTTGTCCCCAACTAACTATAAAGAGTAAACGTATAAATTCTTGTAAAATTCTTCTACTATCACAGCATTGGCCAATTAGAATTTGTTTGATGTTTATAAGAGAAAATTCTTCCCATGTAGTATAGTTAATATGTAAAATCTGCTCATTGATAAGGTCTAAAATCAAAGCCTCTCTCTATTTGAATATTTATAATTTTTTTTTGTTTGATGTAATGGTGCTGGTAGGGGGCATAAAACTGTGTTCATTAGGACAAGCAATTGGATAAAGAGTCACACTTTGATAATAAGTATTTGGGAAAGTGTTGTGGATATCCAGAATAACTTGTAAAGCTTTACTTTATATGTGTGATACTATATAGTTCCATTACAAAAATCTAAATATAATGGATTTCTGATATAATACTAAGTATGGGCTGGTGGTTAAAGGGAAAATTTTTGGCACAGGGAAGTTCTACTTTCTTGTACTCTAAAAGGACATCATTATAAGATGCACAGATGATCCCCAGGGGTAGCATTAAAGAAGGTACAAGTATGAGTCTTTAATGAGTCCCACAGCTGCATTTGAAGTCTTATAAAGAATTTGTTGACCATGGAAGCTGAGTTCCACCATGTACAGCCTGGATATTGCCATAACATATTCTTTAGTAAACTAGGGATTATCATGATCTTTCAATATGGAGTCACTATTGGGAAGGTGGGGTGCTGCCTGTTGTCAACCAGGGAATAGCAAAGTCCTGTATTCTGGTCACTTTTTCTCTGTTGCTGATTTGCAGTGGCCAGAGGATGTGTCCTCTCCTTTTTTCCTTTCCCGAGAGGCATATGTGGGCATGCTCTCCTCAGCTTCTTCTCTGCTTCTTGCTCTCCTGGAAGCTTTCTAATTTCTCAACATCACAGAAGCTTTTTCAGCCTGAATTCATATAGTGTTTCAATTTGGTATCTTTTTTAATGTTTGGGGGTTTTAGAAGTATTTATTACATTCTTTTCTAAACCATGCTAATATATTTTATATAAGATTTTTCTTTTTATGGCATAGCATCTTTTTTTGGGGGGAGGTTTAAAGAATTTATGAGGCCCACCAAATTATATGCTTAAATATTTTTATGTTTATGTTTTCTTTTTTCCTGGAGGAGAGCTATATTTTTCATCTGATCCTTAATCCCCAAAGGGTTAAGAACTGTTTCTCTATAAAATTATGGAATCATCATTTAAGAGACCTCTGAAGTTTCCCTTGTTTAGCTTCCTACTACCCCATCCCAAACTGATGGCCTTCTGGTCTTGGTAGTTTATTACCGTGTGAACCAGTACTTTATTGTTTTATTACTTTGTGAGACAGCCTGTTCCTTTGTCACACTGTTTTGACTGTTAAACCATTCTTCCTTGTATATAAACCAAAAAGAACATTCTGCAGCAAAAGTTCTTCCACAAAGGTAAAATCTGCCTCATGGAAAAGTACTACATTAATGTTCCCTGAGGAGTGTAGACTCTCCTCTCCCTAACTGTATCTTTTTCTTTCTACCTGCCACCTCAAATATCAAATAGCCTTTTTCCAGACTCAGAGGTAGATGAGATCATGGTCTTGGAAGAGCTGGGTATCTGTGTTGTCTGATGTTGAAACCTCTGCCCTGGTTCCTCCTAGGACAGGTCATTGAAGAGTGGAGTGTTGAAATATCCTGCCTCACTTTGATGCCTTATGTTTTTCTTGTGTGCTCTGTACTTATATTGAAATAGCTGCGGGACTCCTGGTGCTCACATCACTTACCAAGGGATCTGCCATGCTGCATGATCATGCTTGAGTTGAGCGAGGCTGGGAGAGAATACGCCGAGGGGGAGAACGGCCGTTGATAGTAACTCATTGGACTCACGGCTCCTCCAGAGTTGCCATTCACTGTTATCTGGCTCTGAGGAAAGGGCAGAGGCATCCTGTTATAGCAAATGGTTCCTGTAAACATCTCTCCTTTACATGACAAGGAAAGGCTTCCAACTGCATGACAGTAATCAACTGCCAAGTTCTGATTTATTTCAAAAACTGATGTCATAGGGGCAGGGCACATTTTTTTCAGTCTCAGTCTCTCTCTCTCCATTTTATTTCTGAAAGTCACTCTCCTCTATATCAGAGGGCACAGAAGGTGGCTAGAAAGGATGGAAGCAGTTAGACACTCGGTTCACAGAAGTGCCTAGTGGTATCAACAGGAGTCACCGCTACATAAACTTGGAGGGTGCATGTGCTCCTAAAAATCATGACTTCAGTAGTTGTGACTTAAATTGCACATGCAGGATTTGAAATGAATGCTCTGACATAAGGGAAGGGATTGGTTCTCAGATTTAGGAATATCCTCTAGTGATTAAAGGTTTCCAAAGCAAAGTGAATAATCTAAGGAACAACCTTTTCTAGAAGAGTCACATACCTAGTAAGGCATCAGAAAGACATGTTAAAATACTCACTTTTCCCTACTTCAAACTTCATCTGTTTGATTTATTAACAATTTATTTCAATTAATTTATATATGAGTGTTTTGTATTCCCAAAGGTATCTCAAGATTCTTGTTGAAAATGATCACAGATAGGCTTCTTTTTGAAGTTTTTATAACATACAACCTGGTGCTAACCATATCGTAGACATTCAACAGATACATATTCTAATTGAACTGAATCAGCTTAGTTTTCACAAGTTAAGCTCAGGAATAACAATTCACAGCACAGCGATGAGTATTATGGAGATTATGTACTGCATGCAAATAAGACAAAACATTAGTAAGAACTTTCAGTTAAAATTGTCTTATAGCTGAATACACACAAACACGCGTATGTACATAAAGACCCATAATTTGCGAGCTTTTCCTACTTATTTTAAAACAAAATAAACTTCTATTATACAGGCTTGAAACATAGACAAATAATTACGTAGTTCCACGATTTCACTTGAAAATAGGTCATGTTTTCAAATGACCTAGAATAAATCTGATTTTATTACTTCATAGCCATAACACATAGATACTAAAATCAATAAACATTTCATTATAAGGATTGCACTTTTAAAATACTTTTTTAAGATGTTAGGAAAATTGCTTTCATATCATAACCGATCATTTTTGAGTACCTTCTACCTGGAGAGACCTGGACATTCAATGTGAGGCACAGATCTGATCAAATGTTTCAGAGCCTTTAAGTATCCCTGGGCAGTGATCTGAGGATGTTTTTGATTACTTGCTCAAATCAAGTCTGGTGGATCTTTATAAATATAATCTTAATGCTATTGCTCTAATGTGCTATAATTAATGTTAAAAGTAGGAGATTAATTTTTATTAAAAAGCAGTAGGTTGCAGTGGGTTGAGTATCCATTATCCAAATGCTTGGGACCAGATGGATTTTGGAATACTTATATATACATAATGACATACCTCAGGGATGGAACCCAAGGCTCAACATGCAATTCATTTTTATTTCATTCAAGCCTTATACACATATGCTGAAAGTAATTTTAAATAATAATTTTAGTGCACCTGCATTTTGACTGTCCTTTCACATGGAGTCTGGTGTAGAATTTTTCCACTTTACTATGCCATGTCAGTGCTCAAATTTTTTTCAGATTTTAAAGCATTTTGGATTTTGGAGTTTTGGGTTAGGAATACTCAACCTGTATGTTACGAAACTTAAGAAACGGAATCCTATTTTGATGGTTTCAATAATATTCAGGGATTATAAATGAACACTGAACGTAGATTTACTCTTTTTATTGTGTTAAACCAATCAAAATTTTAGTAATTAAATAACACTATTAGAATTTTCAAAAATACTATAGTGACTATAATTAATGATGAGGAAAAACATCTCATGAAGAACCTATGAGCAATAAACTGATAACTGGAATCCATTTCAGTTGCTGTCCCCCCCTGACTGTGTACACAAGACCATCTGCATAACTGAAGATCCCAGAGAATCTTAATAACAGACAACTGAAGAGATCAGTACACGAATTGATATGCTCTGGTAGGACATAGGCAGCCATACCTGCCAAGCACCTGATAACACAGGCTGGTCTCCTGCTGTGGCAAGGGAGGAACGTTTAGTGGAGTAAGTTCTATAATATGTTTTAAACACCTTCATTGGATGACTACCAAAACCCATCCAAAAAAAGATGGATGGGATTCATTTCCTGTAATTGCAGAGTCTTAAAAAATATATGGGTTCCTAAAACATTTCTCTATGCATGAATGTTGCAGATTTAATGTCCTGGATAGAATATAGAAACTATGTAACATGAATAAAATTTTGTTTATGACAATGCTCATTTGGAACTTCATTGTAACATTTATTTTAGGAAAATAAATTCCCATTTATTTATTTATTTATTTATTTTCTGCCTAAAGTTATGTGCCTTTGAAATGGAAACCATTATTTCTACATTATATGCAATTGAAAATTTGTGCCATAACATTTTGAAGCATTTTAGGCATTCGTTAATAATTTATTAGGAACTGCTTGGCATATGGACACTTTTCAATGACATAGCATGTAGAAAAAAAATTTATAGATGGAAGGCAAATATAAATGATGTATTCATACATTTCTGTACTGGAGTGGCTCAGGAAAAATAATTCCAAAACAATCACAGGGCTAAATTTCTGTAATGTTAATTAAGATTATTTACATCATCCTTTCCTGTGGGGCAAAAGGGTTCAAAAGATGTAGTTTTTTAGTAAAAGGCAAGTAAGAAGAATTAGCACCACTCAGTCAGTGAGCACTTCTGTGAGAAACAAGGATATTAAACTATTTACATAGGACCATTAATATGAGTCAGTGAGGAAAAATGTTATCTACCAGGTATTAACATTGGATTAAAATTTTTGAAACATTTTAGACTTTTTCTACATTCTAATTATAACAGTATACTTATTTAACTTTCTGAGATAACTCATATTAAGGAAAATCACTGTACAACTCACCAGCCATAACCATATACTGAGCCATAAGTAAACCATTTTGAAGCAATCATAAATAACTCTTTAAAATTAAGTAAAGAAAATCTAAGTAAATTTTATAGCTTGAAGTAATCTTAATGAGGATGACTGTAGTGCATCTCCCTGGCAGATGGTATAGAATTGGTTTACTCATCAACACCTATGTGAAAAAAAAATGTTCAGCTGCATAACAAGATGGCAGACAAGAAATCAGTCTCTGTAAAAAACGGTGGAGGCGAAGGAAGGAAGAATAATTACATGAGTGGTGGCAGGGGTGGTTAAGGTGGTGCCATCTGTCACAGCAGACCTCTGACCCCAGGTTGGGGAAGGTGTCTCAGAACAGTCAGTGGTGTCAGGGTTACCCATCTGCAGCTCAGCTAGAATGGATGCGGAGGACTCGCTCTCAGAGCGGGAGGAGTGCTCGCCCAGGGAGGAGTCTGTCCTGAGAGAGCCTGGGTCGTGGCTGTGGACAAGGCTTTCGGGAGCTAGGAGAGGGTGTTTATAGGAACAATGTGACAGGCTCTGGGGCTTAGGCAGGCACGAAGGCCCCAGATCATCAGGTGGCCGTGCTGGGCTGGAGCCTCTATCTGGTGCAAAAGTGATTCCTTTTGGGTTAAAAGGAATCGCAGGAAAAGGGCACGAAGAAGCAGCTTCTGATGTGGTTTGTCTGTGTGTCTGTGAAGCATTTACCTCCAACACACTGGCAGCTAAGTGCTGATTTCCACGCTGAGTTTGAGGAAAAATAATAAGAACAGATATGAATTATCCAATGAACAAAAACATCTCTGTTTGGCAATGGAGCAGAGAAGGCAAAGCATTGGTTTTATTTGCAAGCACTTTAAGAAAATACACTCAGATGGATTAGGTGTCAACCACACAGTACAGAGAAAACATGGAAACATGAAGAAAACGAAGCCAGGCAGTGTTTTTTGGAAACAAGACTAGTTTTCACACGGCACTGCAAACTAAGTTTGGGTAGTAGGGGCTGTGAGTGTTGACATAAGAGATTTCTCCCTCAAAAGTTTGAGCTTTTTGTCCTGGTGACAGCAAAATGATATCAGATTGTCCATGGCTGGGCAGTATTAGTTTGACCTTCACAAGAGAAGCCTTGTAGCATAGCTCTTCCTGTGGCCTCTCCATGGCCATAATGTCCCCAAACTATAAATCAGTTTGCCTCATTTTTTTTTCTGGCTTATGGATTTAAATACTGATCAAACTAAAAAACAACTAAGTGGAAAGGGGATTTGTTTCCTTTCCACTCGTTGAGTCTGTTGATTTCACTGAAACATGAAAAAACAACTGAACTTTAAAATAGCAGTGCAAATAGAAGTTCTTATGTGTGAAAATGAAGTGAAAAGAAAAACCAGCCAGTGGGAATGGTTAGAAGGCACCGTCCTTGGTTAGAGCTAATGTTAAATCTCAGGAAAAGGAGAAAGAAACGGAAGGAGAAATAAAAGGTTTAAGATCATCAAAGCTATTTATAAAATGCATATATGTTGGAGGGATTGTCTGCAGCAGGAAGGGAGAAGATGGTCCATTAAACATTTTTGCATTCATCTCATAATTTTGATGGTGTCTGACCATACGTATTAAATATAATGATAATCATAAAACTCCGTGAATGAATTAAACTTCAAAGCAATTTTTCCCTTTTAGTCTCCCCTCCTTGAAGAATACAGGATCTTGGGGTATTTGAGACACTGCCAGGTGTAAGATGGCTAAAAGTATTATGGGATATTATCATCAAGGAGGGACGTGGATTAAAAAGAATTGTATAAACTTAGCAATATTGCCTAGTAAAGATTTAAGTGGTACCATTTGGTGTCCTTGGCCAGCCATAATTTTCATAGCAGCTGATGTCATATAGGTTGAGGGCCTCATAAAAGTCATAATTATTTTTTTTGCCTTAGGCTTTTAATTGAATACTTAAAATGCACCAT